CCACCGCCTTCCTGCCCTTCCTGCCACACGCCTTCCTGCCCTACACGCCCTGCCTGCCACCGCCTTCCCCTGTACAGCTTCCCTCCTGCCCTACACGCTTCCCTTGCTTCCCCTCTGCCACCGCCCTCCTCTGCCTGCCACGCCTTCCCTGCCTGCCACACGCTTCCCCTGCCTGCCACACACGCCTTCCCCTGCCTGCCACGCCTTCCCCTGCCTGCCACGCCTTCCTCCATGCCTTGTCAGGTGGTCACTCCAGGTCAGCGCCACTTGAGGGCACTGCGGCCACTGTTCACTATGTTTATAGTCACTTCCCAGGCACTTACTGAAGTCACTGCCCCGCCTACACACACACACACACACACACACACACACACACACACACACACACACACACACACGATAGTTGTTTCCTATTAACAAAATTAATCACTTAAGGATTAAATTACCCCAAGATCTTGTTCAGAAATTAATTACAAATCTTTTGAGTTGTTCAATTATTTTTTTACCTTTGTGTTCAGAAGATTAAAAGTTTGGCGTTCTAATCTCTCTCTCTCTCTCTCTCTCTCTCTCTCTCTCTCTCTCTTTAATATACAGCCCTCTAATCTTACTCATCTCCAAGTCTGCCATATAACAGTCTAGTCGTCTCATTAAATAATTTATCCTACTAAATATGACGTATAATTTCCTTCATTCAATAATCTATAATAATATGATAATTAGGGGATTATTTTTTTGGTATTTAATAATCACTTGGGGGGTAATTAAGACTTCTGCTCCACCTGAAGGTAATTAAGACACCTGCTACACCTCAAGGTAATTAAGACTTCTGCTACACCTGAAGGTAATTAAGACACCTGATTACATAGATAAATCGATTACCCGGGTTCAATATTCGGTTACCCGGGTTCAATATTCGGTTACCGGGTTCAATGATTTCGTTACTCAGGTTTCAAAACCAAAATAAATAATGTATTCAAAGTTAATTATAAAATGAATTAACCAATTTATAAATGAAGAACATTTACAAAAAGACGCACTTGTGTGTGTGTGTGTGTGTGTGTGTGTGTGTGTGTGCGTGTGTGAGTGTGTGCGTGTGTGAGTTCTGTGTGTGTGTGTGTGTGTGGATCAATACACTGAAGATTTACAATACGTTTCTACAGCAATACAACACTATACTTGCACCACCTTCCCTAATACCACTACCACTACCACATACACCACTACCACCACCACCCCTACCACAACTTCCACAACACCCACACCTACCTTCATCACCACCACCACCACTACCACCACTACCCCCTAGCTACCACCACCACTACCTCAGTCACCACTACCACCACCACTCCCCCACAATACTATAATTTAATACATCAGACGCAAATAAACTTCGCTTGGTATTTATCCTCACTACTGCGCCAGACAAAGAAAAACATCACCTGGCGTCAGACTAAATACCCTCCTACTGCACTGGCGTTAAGAGAATATATATAAACCTCAATACTGTATATGTATTAATGATAAGCTAACGTATGCTTCTATATACACATTAACACGTATGCATTAATCTTCTTCCATTACACACACACACACACACACACACACACACACACACACACACATACATACACACATACAGACTCACACACGACCATATTGTAATCCACACTTTTCTCATTCTTTCAATATTCCTCTCTCCTCCTATCCTTCCTTCCATCCTTCCCTCCTTCCACCCTTCCTCCCATTCTTCCTTCCCTCCATCATCTCTCCTCCCCAGCACCACTATATCACCCCATAATGCACTGGGGTAAAGAGCATGACAGTCAGTTATTAACACAGGCAGTACACAGTGTCGCCCCTCCAGTCTGCGGTGATTGGTCTCCACATTTTACTACTGTTGGTTGGTGGTAATGTTGGATGTGTAGAAATGTTCTGGTGGTATTTCGCTCACTAGTTCTGCTATAATGACTATGCTACTGCTATTACTGCTACTGTTAGACTACTACTACTATAGACTACTAGTACTACTAGACTACTGCTACTAATACTACTACTACCACCACTAATAGACTACTACTACTACTGCTACTATAATACTACTATTTTTTTTTTACTAATTGGCCTCCAGCCTCCCCCAATAGCCACACCTTCGCCGCCATTTTATTACCTTAATATTTAATATCCTAATACATAAATAGCTACCCTAGCTGGTGTTTGAGTTAGTTCAGCCGCAGATCTATGCAGTATTCAGTGACTGTTGCCTCTGTAGTCAATATCTGGGACCGTTGTCTGCTTTGGGGCCGATGATCTCGTTCTCCTGAGGCAAAGCAATGCAGACCTAAGCAGGAGGACAGTCTGCATCTCAACCAGCTTGTGGCTTCTGGGCTGCTGCTTCTGCTCAGACAACACCTCGTCCAGTCATGCATAGAAACATCTTGCACTTGGTTCCATCCCACCAGAGGTTGTGAACACCAGAGGAGTGAAGCTGCCTTGATCAACG